AGTTATGGGGGGAAAAAAGAGGAACCAATGTAATAATCTGAATAAAGATTTTTTTTAAATAAATAAATAAAACAAAATGAGAGGATGAAGGCGACAGACCTGTATGCGAGGAGAGGAGTGCATCTCACCGGGCGAAGGAGCCTATCGCTTGGAGACGTATATGTTTTTGAGAAATGAGGGAGGGGAGACTTGCTGAGGGACACTCCAGCCTGGGGGTGTAAGTCCCCCAAATCCCCGCCTCAGCAGGGCACCTACATTGGCTGCGTTGCCGCTAAGACTGTGTCTGAGTGCATTCCTTTCCTGCTGTGGCTGCTGTGTGTTGTCTCCTGTTCAAATTCCTCCTACAAGGAGACAAGAGCCAAGGACGAGAGGACTGCCTCCGGCCAGCGGCCACCCTAACCATGCAGTCGTGCCCGCGCACAAGGCTGTGCCCAGGAAACATGCCTGAGGGGCAGGGTGGGCTTTTGTACCAGGGTGCCCACAGGACTTTTCTTGAGGATCCAAAACTAGGGCCAATGCTCAAAGCTAAGGCCAAGGCACGCTCAGTCCCCACTCTCTACAGGGAGTTACCTAGGAGCTGCCAGCAAGGCCAGCTGCTGCACCCCCACCTGCCACGAACTAAGAGGCAACAGAAGCACACCCTTGGCAAAGCCACCTCGCCCACCCCTCTCCTTTGAACCCTGACCACAGAGGTGGGCACGCACCCATCTGCACTTGTTTCCAGTTCCCAACCACTCCCACCCATTACCGTCCTCCTCTTCACTCTGCATCTGAAGCCACAGAAAACTGACCTGTCCACGCTCCTGCTCAGCCCCTGGCAGACCCGCGACCTAAACCCCAGGCTGAGCCCTGAGGGCGGAGCTCTCTCCCCGGCATAGCTGTGACACCATCAAAGGAGGAAGCTAATGCCCAATCACCTTTTTAAAAATCATCTTTAATGTGTTTTTAATAGTTTTTGCCTCATTTACCAGGTAAATCATCTAAATAAATAGATGCTATACAGTCTGTTACCAATATCAGTACAAAAATAAACCCGAGCTCTGCATCCACTCCGGCTCCCCCAGCACCCACCCACTCACAAGAGGCAGGTGCTGGGGACGGTTCGTGCCAGCCCCTCCCAATACATTCATTTCGTCTGAGCAAAGCTCACTGCTCATTCTGTGCAAAGGAAGCGTTCTTGTGCTGAGACCTGGAGGCCAGGCTGGCCACTTCTAAAGCGAAGCTACGCGGAAGCATAGCGCCTTCCCCAGCAGGGGAGGAGGGGGGCGTTGGCAACGGGCTCGATGGGGTGATGATCATGGGCTCGGCTGCTGCATGAGGAGTGGCCTTGCCAGGGGTGGAGGACAATCTCCTGTCCGATCCCACAGCGGGGGAGGGAGTGGGAGGGGGGGGGAGGAAGTACCAACTACATTCAAATGGGTGGGGGTGGGCCAAGGGAGGCAGGAGGTCCAATCTTTCGAAGCATCCACTCCCTGGAGTACTGGCCTTCAGTGTGGAAGCGAGGCGAGGTGGGAGGCGGGGACACTCAGGGCTGGGAGGAGGCCACACCCAACCCCTCATTGAGGTCTATGTGCTGGAGGCGGGGTCCTAACAGGCCAGACAGAGCCCTTCCCCCAGGGAGCAGGCTCTGCAGGGTCAGCCCTCTCTGAGACACAGGACGCCCGTGGGCCGGAAAGGGCTAAGTCAAAGGCAAGAAGGGTTTGGTTGCTGCTGCCTCATTCCACAACAGGCCCCCACGCCCCGATTCTGCAAGTTCTACACACACAGCTTATCGGGATGCACTGCCCAGCCCCTCCTTGGCCATGTTTTCTGAGATATTGTTTCCCATAGCTTGAAGCAAGCAGCCTGCACCTGCAGAAGCAAAATAAGATCCACTCCCCGCCGACTCGGGCGCTCCCTCTGTCTGGTGGACACGTGCCCCCTCCCCAGACACACTGCTGTCTTCCAAGGACGTCCTGCTCAGGCAGCAGCCCTGACCCCGGCCTGTATAAGGGAACACAAACACTCCCTCGCTGACGCGGGCACACGGGGCTCAGCCCGCGGCGAGAACATAAACTTTCTTAAACTCTGTCTCTTGGCCTGGCTCCTGGTGGTGCGGACCTAACACACTGTCTGGGAGGGCCCATGAGCCAGGACGAGGTCCTGTGTCCCCTGGGGAATGAGTATGACTTATACTAGAAGCTGCCAGCCTGTCCCAAAGCCATGAGCAAACAGCATTCCACTAGAGACCTCCCAGCCCACCCCCCTCCACACCTCGCCTCGGCTGGGAGCCCCAGTCCTGGGAAGGTCCCAACTCCAGCTGCCTTTCCCTCCCAGGGGCACAGCTGCCCCTCCTTCCCCTGACCCACCCCCACTTAAGCCTCTAGATCCAACTCCCCAGGCCGGGGTGAATCAAGTCACCCCGAGGGGACTGTCCCCAATGGAAGCACTGAATTGACCCTGGACAGTGAAGAAATAGGAAGAAGGGGAGAGAGACCAGGGATTTGAGAATCTTGCCAGCAGGGCACCCAACGCAGAAATGGGGTGCGGTGTCTTTGGTTTGGGAACTGGGGAGGGGGCTTGGGGAAGGAATAGCCCTATCCTGCCTCAGGACACAGCGGGGAGGGCGGCCCTGGAGGGCAGGCAGAATGGCGGAGGGTGGAGGGCCAGGCTTGTACTTGCCCTCTGGCACTTCCCGCCCCCCCACCCGCTCCCACCCCGCCTTGTGGCCTTTTCTGCCCACAGGGCTGGGATGGGGCAGAAGCCACTCCTCACTGCCAGGGGAGTTACCAGTCCACAGGGCACATTGGTGCAAACTAGAAAGTGAGTGCCCTCCGGCTGGCAGACACAGCCTGTGCTGGAGGGCGGCCTGGGGCTTGTGCACAGCCTGCCCCTCCCACCGCCAGCCCCGCAGCCTGACTGCAGGAAGACATGGCAGAGGCCCCACCACAGAACACAGGCCAGCCTGGCTTCGGCATGTCGGCATGTCGGGGTGCAAAGGGGGCACAGGATGCAAGGAGGAGGGATGGAGGGAGTTGAGGCTGCCCTGAGAAGGTGGTGGGACTCCCTCCCTCCCTGACCACCCACACCCACCATTGGCTGAGCTGAGGAGAGGGCAGAAGAGGGGAGTGGGAAGGGCTGAAAGGTCACCTGAGTCAGAGAGAACAGAGCCCCCCAGGAGGAAGCACAGGCCCACCTGCAGACGCCGGGCGAAGCCACACACCTGCGTGCCCAGAGCAGCAGAGGACATCTGCCATGCCAGACCCTGCTGACAGCTTCCAGTAGGCCCGGATCCGGTCACGTGATGGGCTATGCCAGGTGGGGTGAGTGTGTGGTGCCCGTAGCAAGTTCTTTTGTGCTGTGATCACCTCACATTCATCTATCAGGTTTCTAAACAGGAGATTTGTAGGACCCATCGCACATGTCTGCAGTTACATGCAAACACTCACGGGGCAGGAGGGCAGGGTGCGCGCACACGGGTGCAGCTGGGGAGGGTGGGACTGGGGAAGCTCTCAGCAGGAGGCCTCGGCTGGCAGCTGCCCCAGGGAAAGTAGAGGCTCTCTGAAGGGTATGGACTCAGGACACTGCAGCCATCTCTACCCCTTCCTTTGGCCCTTCTCTCTGACCCTCCCTCTGAGCAAAGGAGCCGCCATCCCACCGCAAGCTGGAGTGCAAAGATAAAAACACAGTCCCCTTCCTGCCAGAGAGGCAAAGGCAGAATCAGCCCCAGGGCTGGGCGCCGTGAGGGGGAGGCTGGACTCCTGCGCTTAGTCCCCAGGGCCAGCTCTGTGTCTGGGGAGAAGGGTGATGGAGGTGTGCAGGGGGTGGCCCTGTCCCCATTCTGCTCTGGAGATGGTACCCAAACTGACAGAGCAGTGCCGGGTACCCACCCCCTGCCAGAAACAGACCCGGAGGCCTCTCTGTAAACATCCCCCACAGAGCAAGGGGAGGATGGTGGGAGAGTGTTGGGATCTTCCTCCTCCTCCCGTTTCGTATTTTTAAATAAAATAATTACCCTCCCTAGACCCCTCCTCCCCTCTGGAAGTCCCCACCCCAAGCCCAAAAGAAAACAGTCTAAGAGAAGTAAAAACGGGGACTCAGAACTTCCCGCTGTGGCCTATGTCTCGGTCTCGGTCTCGGTCTCGGAAGAAGCCCTCAGCGGCCTGGGCCTCGCGGAAGGTGACGGTGATGGAGTTGGCGGTGATATCTGTCACTGTCACTTCACTTGTGGGGAGCGCAGGTGTCCAGGGAGGCGGTCCCTCGGCCAGGTCTGCATCTGCTACTGCCATAGGAGAAAGACAGACGGACAGATGGAGGACAGCGCTGACAACAGGGCGGGGAAGGTGGGAACGGGTGGCAGCATGCGGACTACTCCCCACCCCCGCACCAGGCTGTCCTCTGAGCCTCCAGCCAGGCCTGGCCAGCGCACGACTGGACACATGGGAGGAGGTCATGACATTTCTTTCCCGGCAGGACCAGAACTCATCCTGGGCAGGACCACAGGAAGCCCTGGGCTGGGTGCCCGGGTCCTTGCAGGCTGTGTGGCCTCCAGAGCACCCCATGCCCGCTCCGGGCATTAGGCCAACTGGACCTGATGACTCAAGGGATGGTTCCAGCCCCGAGGGTCTCTGGGCCTGGGCACCTTACCCTCCTCTTCGGGGGGCTGCTCAGCAGGCTCCCACTCGCTGGCTGCCTGCAGGACGTCCGGTGCCGGTGCCTCCTGCAGGAAGAGCTCCCGTGGATGGCTGTGACTCTCCAGGTTGGGCCCGCGGGGCGGGAACTTCTTGCGTGAGAGCCGCAGGTACTTGTGGGCCTTTCGGGGCTTGCGGAGCGGGAAGGGCAGGGTGGGCACCAAGGGGCCCTTGTCCACCAGCTCAGGCGCCCCCGCCTTGACCACCCCCTCGGGGCTCCCGCTGCCGAGTGGGCACGTCAGGGAGAAGCAGAGCTTCTCCTTGCCCTGGGCCTTGTGGGAGCTCCGCAGGTCCATGCTGTACAGCCGCTGCGGGGGCAAGCCAGGGCACGGCGGGTCAGCCCAGCCCTCCCACCCACTGCCGCGCCTTTGCTCATGCTGTTCCTCCCGCCGGAGTGCCCTTCCCCATGTTTCATGGCCCAGAGGCAGCCATCACCCCACCCCCAGCCCAGCCTAGAGAGCCGTCCTTAGCCAGTCCCAGCCCTATAGCCCCACAGGGCAGCCTCATCTCCCCAGGGGCTGAGAGGGGCTCAGGGACGGAGGCCACAGGCACAGGTCTGGGGTACACAGCGGAGGAACGTACAGGAGGTACGAGAAACCCATCTGGGTTCAGGAAGCAGAGTGAGTATGCAGGCCTATGCCTCTGTTGACGCCCTGCCTCATTCTTGTTAAAATGGGCTGAAAGAAAGGTTCCTCCACTTCTCACGGCTGGTGTTTTGCCATTTGGGGACTTATCTTATTGCTTTGGGGTAACTTATACAAGTCCAGGAAAGATCCTTGTGCTAAAATGTTGGGAGGGCCTAGATCACCCCAGGATAGTACCTTCTACAGCCACCTTTCACCAGAGGCAAGAGCTCCCGGAAGAGAGCGAGGCCATCAGAGGGGACCCATGGCCAGACACCTCCAGGGGGGAGCAAAGATCACATGTGCAGGCTCCGTTCTAGTCCCACCTGCTAATGCCCATCGGGGGGCGTGGGGTGCAGGTTGTCTTGGTGATGGGAGGAGGGCGGAACTGGGAGGGCATTGGGAAAATACTGCCATGCAAGGAGGGCTTATCCTATATGTAGCTTTATCAAAACCCTTCACCCTGGCTTGCAGGCCATCACAAGCCCAGTAAACCCTCCCAATTCTGCAAGGTGGACTCATCTTTGTCCTTCTCCGCCTCACCAGGAGAGCACTGCTATCAGGGACCCAGGAGCAGCAGAGTCAGATCTGGGCTTTACAGCTCTGACCCTGGGTAAACTACCGGCCTCCCAGAGCTTCAGCTGTAGTAGCCAGCCTCCAAGATGGCTCCAACATACCCGCCCCTGGGACTGAACACTGCGGTGGGACTGCCAAGGCGAGGTCGTTAAAGACACTGTGCTCCTTCCTCCCTCTTGCTTGGATCGCCCACTCTGGGGGAAGCCAGTGGCCCACTGTGAGGCCCCTCAGCAGCCCTCTGGGAGGTCCACAGGGTAAGAACAGGCCCTGCAACATCTGACACGCCCGTGAGCGGTGCTGTGAGGAGCACTTTGGAAGCAGCTCCCTGGCCGACATCATGACTGCAACCCAACTAGAATCACTGAAGAACTAGCAAATGCACTCCTGGACTCCTGACCACGGCGACTATGGGAATCACAGTGTTTGTTGCTTCAAGCTGCTTAGTTAGGGGGGATCATTACACAGAAACAGATGATAATACACCTTCCCTGGAGGTTTATGTCCACTGTGAAGGGCACTGAGCACAGAGCTGAGCATGGAGATGTCTGACAGACGTCACTTTCCTTCCTGGGACACAGTTTACACGGAGCCCAGGGAACACGCCCACTGCGTGAGGGAGGCCATCTGTCCGCAAAAGCCTCGGGCGATCTACAATCAAGAGCGGACAGGCGGCTGGACCTGACGCACCTGCACGTGGACCAAGAAGACTTACTTTTGGTCCCCAGTCCCTGGATGGGCTGTAAGTGAAGGAGAGCGGGGTCCCGCCATTCCGCTTCTACAGGAGAAGACTCGGGCTCAGAGAAGCCATCCCCTAACGTGATGGCCTCAAATCACAAAACTGCGTTACTCAGACTCCACCTTCCTTTCAGTGCAAAGCAGTGAGGTCAGCATAGTGCCCCCAAGACCTGGGCACCTGTGGCAGGGAACCGGAAAGGGTGACACCTTTCTAGGACTTTCCACGACGGTGGGTCCAGGATGCCGAGGCGCCTTTGCTGGAATTCTAGAATTCCAGGCTCTCATGCTTCCTCAGTTCTCAAGTTTTGTCTCTAAGGACCTCAAATATTACAATTTTGTGTTTTAGGGATTCTGAATATCAAAAAGGCTCGCTTACAAAGTTCTAAGCTTCTAAAATTCTAGGAGCCCATGAGCCATACATCCACTCTCCTGCCCACCAGCATCTTCCCACTAGCACCAGCCCCACATTCCGACTTTCCCCAACTACTCCCATGGGGCCTTACCCCCCAAGTGCCTCCCGCCCACAGCACCCTGGGCGGGCTGAGGAGGGGGAGTGGTTCAGCTCAACTAGCTGGGCAATGGCGGGGGAGCATGGGGACCGGTGGGTGGGCACCAACGCTGGCCGGTTACCTGCAGCAGAAGCCGCTTGGGTTTCGGACCTCTCTTCCTATACCCCGACGCTCGGTCTCTCTCCTCCCTGGGGTGCAGAGCAGATGGAGGAAGAAAAGAAAACACTGGTGACATTTAAGGGAAAGCAGGGGTCCTCCACCCTGCCCTCCGCAGTCTACGGGGGAGGGGCATCCTTCACAGACCACCCCCCAGTGCCAGGACAGGGCCTCCTCCCTGTTGCTCTCTTTAGGCCATGACAATGGGCCACATATTTAACTCCCGAAGCCTCGGTCTTCCCAGCTGCCGAAGGCAACAGCACAGCCACGGATCCCACCGGCCAAGGTGGGACTCAGGTGGCATCTCCAAAAGCGTGTGGCACTTGACTGGGCCCAGGTCACGCCAGAGCTCTGCTCCCCATGCTACCGGGAGCAACCTCCCCCCAAAGAGTACAGTTCCAGTTTCCACTCTGGAGAGTGGTGCAGAACCTGTCGATCAAGTCTGCCTGAATGCCCCTGGGCACTGACGAGAATGGGAAGGATCCCTCCCACCTTTGCGCCCCGTCTGGGATCTGCGTGACTGGTGGGGAGAACAGCGCCCACCTCTCTTACTGTCCGAGAAGGGAGAGAAACTAGCTGTGCTGAGTCCCTAGGAGATGACCGATGGCTGGGGGCCTTTCCAAATCCCAAGTGCAAAACACAGGCACACCTGAGGCTGCAAACAAAGCCACGTACAACACACACCAGAGTCACCACAGAGCTGCCAACAGGGCCTGAGTGGTGGGAAAACCCAGTCATTTCCTTCTGCCCATTTCACTTCCTTCACACTCAGAAAGTGTGAATGGGCCGAAGAGACCACGTAGTTGGAGCAGGAATGTGAGGGCGGGAGTTCGCCCTGACAAGAGAAACATTCTGAGATGTTGTAAATGAATTCCAGTGGGCCAGAGAGTGAGACCTGGTGACAGCAGGGGCCAGCTGACGAGAGAGAGAGAGAGAGAGAGAGAGAGAGAGAGAGAGAGACGCACACCCTGCATGTGTGGTGGAGCCCTCCCTCCCATGGCGCTGGGGACCTAGAAGCAGCCTTTGGGAGCAGCACAGGGCGCTGTGACACGCTCCCGGCCTTCACGCTGACAAGCTTCTCTCAGAGCCCAGTGCTGGGGGCCAGGCGCCCCCTCCAGGCCCAGCTCTGCACCGACCCACAGGCGACTGTGCTGGTCACTTCTCTGGCCTCAGGGGCCTTGTCTGGAGAGAGAGGCTCCCTTCTCAGCTCATCACTAGGCTCTTGAGAGGAGTGAAAGATGTCCCTGGTATTTATGAAAATGGAAAGTAGGAGGCTAAAGTAATAAAGAGGAAGAAGAGAGGGGGGAGAAAAAGAAGAGAGAGGAAGAGGGGGAGGAAGCAGAGGGGGAAAGAGAAGGGCTTCAGGGGAAAATAATAGTATGTTAATTACATTTACATGACTTATTGATTATGATGATCACGTACTGGACACTGGACAAGTCACTGCTCTAAAGCTTTAACCCTCACACCATCCTACGAGGGAGGTTCTATTACTACCCTCACTTTATAGCTGGGGAAACTGAGCCACAGAGAGGTTGAGTAACACACGTTGGCACATTGTTACACCTCCCGCCAATGGTGAAAATGCTAAGCTCAGGTTCCAAACTTGGGAGGTCAGGCCTAGGGTCCCAGGCAGTATCAGCAGGACAGGCCTGGAGCCCAGGCCATATGATTCTGCCTTCTAATATGCAGCCCCTACCCCTTTCTTGTCTGCAAACTGCAGGGATGCAGGTGAGAGGGTGAGGCAGGGGCCTGCATTCTGTCCAACCTTACCAACTCAGTGCCTGGTATCTGTCAGACGCTCTGACCATTTGTGTCCAGGGCTAAAGAGCTGAGACCGCCAAGGAGTCAGGGCCCAGTAAGCCAGTGCCCCCTGGTGTGCAGGGACCCCCAGTGAAACCCCCTCCCCAGGCTCCTGCATTAAAACCCTCTCATTAAAACCCTGCAAAGTATGTGTTTAATGGGCCTCACTGCCTTTTACTTCCTTTTCACCAAGACTGAGAGAAGCAGTGAGAGTGTCACACAGTGGGTCTGCAGAAGTCTGTCCTTAACTATTGACTTCTGACTCAAAACAGCACGCCAATCATCTACCAGGACTCACGCCGCCCTCCCTGAGCTGTGCCACCCCCTCCTTCAGATGCCCCTGCCTCCCACACTGTCCCCACCCTTCCTCACCCCACAGCCTCCAGCTCACCCACTCCAGTCGCCACACTGTCCTCCAGGCTGCTCCTCACACACAGGCCCCCATCCCAGGGCCTCTGCACTCCCTGTGCCTCACCTGGGTGTTCTCTAAAAGACCCACCGGGCTCACTCCCTCACTTCACTCAGGTCTCTGCTCAGACACCCCCAGCTCACTCCCCAGGAAACCAGGACCCCTCTCCCTATCTTTGCAGCAGGGGTCAGCCTCTGATATGGTACACGTATGTTAGTGCACTGTTTATTGCGTGTCTCCACACGGATGTGAGCCACATGGGGCAGGGACGTTTGTTGCTGCTGTGCCTGGCTGGGACCCCAGCACTGGAACAGTGCCTGGCACATCCTGTGATCTCAATCAAGACTTTCTGAATAAACCAAAGAATGACTAGCTGACCCCTAATTACCACCAGGAGATACTCACACGTGTGTGCCCACACTCACGGGTCTGCAGAGTGCGTTCACATACCTTTGCCTCCCAAGCAAGCCCCAAAGGTCGGCCCCTTATACCCATCACACAGATGGGGAAGCCGAGGCTCAGAGGGAAAGGCCTTGCCTGACACCTCACAGCTGGTGGGTGGCAGAGCCAGCTGCCAGGACTCTAACCCAGGCCTGTGATGCTGCCCAACTCTCTCCCAGGGCCACACCACTTTGGTCAAGGCTGCACAAGCACTGGGGAACCAGAAAGAAGCTGTGGGACAGGTCACCCTCATCTTTAAAGGCAGGAGCAGTGAGAACTGGTCCTTTGAATGGGCAGCAGGAGACGTCCTGGGGGGAGAGGTGAGAAGGGGGCCCGAGGGGCAGAGGAAGGGCCTCCCCGTACAGTCAGGAGCCTGGGTCGGGCTCTTTCCCAGCGAGGAGGCTGCTAGACAAGTCCCACAGCTCCTCAGGGCCTCAGTTTCCCCATCTGTCAGACGACCCTCCTCCCTGCCTCAGGAGACCAGAGGGAGGACTATTTCAGAAGATGGTCCGCACTGACAGGTCAGTGTGAGGGAGAAGCTGCAGGACGCGGGCTGCCTGCTGGCAGGAGCTCAGTAACTCTGGCCTCACAGCAGAGGGAATGGCTGGATTCTGCTCACAGGGCCCCACACCAGCAGAGAGGACATGTTGTCCAAGGCTCCCCGCTGAGAGCAGCCCTCATGGGTATGGGAGGAGCTGCCAATCACTAACCACCCTGGAATCTCAGCAGAGCGCTGGCAGACGTGGGAGACGGAGACCCTGGTGGCTTTGCCCAGGGCCACTCAGTTAGGAGGGGGCAGAGTGGGGAGGACCAGAACCAGCCCTCCCACAGGCCTTCCCTGAGCTTCATCAGGTGGTCCTCTCTTGCTAAGGGACCTCCAGGGTGCGTGTCTCTGGTCTCTCCCCCAGGGCTGCCTGGGCATTACTGATATTGCTGCTCCTCACACATAGGGCATCACTAGGACACATTTCACATTCATCACGGCGACTGAAACCCCTACCTTATGGAGAAGCCGCAGCAGGAGTTATTGGGGTGGCCCCGTGGCAGCAGAGAGACCGAGGCCTGGGGAGGGGAGGGAAGTGGCCAACATCACCCAGCAACAGGAAAGTAACCAGGGCCCCCGGTGCCCTGGAGCTGGTGCCCACCACCCTCCCCCAGCTGCAGCCACGACCAGAGTGTCCCTGCCAGGACCCCTCCCCCGCCCATGCCCGGGCCCTATTCAGAGCCAAGGCAGAGCAGGCTGCCTAGGAAACCTCCGGGCGGCCTGTGGACCAGCCCGGCGGTGCAGGCGGAGCCCCTTACTTCTCCTCATAGGCCATGACCAGGCGGGGGTCCAGGATGTGCTCCTCTGGCTCCCACGTGCTGTACCTGGGAGAGAAACGACAGGTCAGAGCTGCCCCGCACTCCCCTGCATTCACAGAAGCCACAGTTGCTCCACCAGAGCCCACTGTCTGCAGGCCCTTGCCCCTTCCTGGTCCAGAAAATTGTCACCTACTCCTCGGAGCTGTCCCAGGCCAGCCAAGTGTGGTCAGGGCCTCCTAGGGGTTCCAATGACACCAGAACCCCCTCATTCTGAGCACTCGCCATACCACCTACAAAAGGTGTGATGAGACCTATGTCCACCTCAGCAGCTCAGGGGACCTGGGAGGGCAGGGCAGTACGTCCCACAGGCCCTTCCTAGAAGAGGTAAGAGCCTGTGGTAACGGGCAGGGGCTCTGAGACAGGCTGCCTGGGTTCAAATCCCAGCTCTGCCCTTGGAAGCTGTAAAACCTTGAACAATTTCCCTACGGTCTTTGTGCCTCGATTTCCCCATTTGCAAAAGACTCTGTGCTGGAAAAAGCATAGTGTGTCTAAGTGATTGGAGCAGGGCCTGACACACAGGAAGTGCTCTGTGCTTAGCACTGTTGCTATCCCCACTCCTTTCTCAAACCCCAGCCCCAGCACAGCCTCTCTTCCCAGTCTGAGCTGCTCCCTCCCTTCTGGGCACACATCTGTGCCATCGAGGCCAGCTGTGAAGTGCCTGGTGGTGGGGCCTGGCACACAGCAGGAATTTGGTAAATGTCTAGCACCAGTCATAGGGCTAGGACCCGCTAGGATTTTCCCCGGGGATCTCCTCCACTCGCAACCACAGCGTGTTCCCTGCGGGGACAGGCCTGGACTGAGACGGCGCGGCACTTCCTGAGCTCAGCCACCCGTGTTCCACTGCTCCGTTATTTACTTAGAATCTGCCTTTAAGCTGCTCACTTTTTCATCTATTAACTTTTTTAAAAAACTAACTGTATATGACTTTTGTAATTGGAAAAAACAGTACCACTCACTATAAACAGATGCTAGTGCATAAAAATTAAAATTTTAAAACATGTATGTGTGCATATGTGCATGCATACAAATAAATATACACACAAACGTTCAATTATGCCTTTGGGTGTCTGTGCACATGTACATGCACAGGCAAAACCTAAGCACTGGACTGTGATCCTGGCGGAGGCGGCACCAGCTCCACTGGATAAGAAGGGAGAGGAGCAGGTCTCAGGGGAGGATTACGAAGCAGAAGGAGGCTGGGCATGGCCCCTGCCTTGTGGCCTCCAAACAAGCTAAGCCGAAACCTTCATCTTAAACGGTCCTGGGACTGTGAAACCTACAGGTGTCCCGTCCAGACACAAACAACAAGCTGCCCGAGAACAGACTCCTCGGCTCCTTCTCTCCAGGGACACTGCTGCACGGCTACTTCGTGTCGGCCCCGTCCGGCCTGTAACTCAGCAATGAAGGGCCATGCCCTGAGGACCACACAGCCATACCCAAGTGCCACATGCTCAGCCTGAGCAGGCACGTCGCCTCTCTTCCTTTGTACAGGCTATGCGGTCCGCCTGGACAGTCCCTCCAGAGGACTCCACTCATCCTTCAAGAGCCAGGTTCTTACAGCTCCTCTCCCAGCTGTGCCACTTCCAGCAGGACGAACGATCCTCTCATCCCCACTCCCCTCGCTGGCCTTGGCACCTGCCATAATTACTGAATGCAGCTGGCGCCCTGGTGGGCAGATGTAACCCCTCCCCAAAGCATTCAGCCCAGGCCCAGCCGCCAGGTGCTCTGGGAATGGCTCTAGAAGCCACTGCAGTTTCACCCCGAAGAAATGTGAAACTAAAAAAAAGAAAAAAAAGAAAAAGAAAGAAAGTGAAACTAAAACTGGTTACATGTATATTTTGGTAAAACCCAAACTATGACCAACCAGAGGCTCACAGTTTTATTTCCTCAAGGTTGGGTTTTCTCAGCTGAAACTAGTTACAGGGGGAGTTTTGTGTTCCTGCTGTGGGCTGCCTCCTCTTTCTCTGGCTGTTGAAATGTCCCTGTCTTGTTCTAGTCCTCTCTGCCCTGCCCACTTCCCCACCTCCTCACCCAGTTTTGTTGATGTTGCTGCAGTGTGGTTCCTGGCAAGTCCCTAATTTTCTCTGGATCCCAGTTTCCTCATCTTAGAATCACTAGCAGCACCACGGCCATTAACAGCAAGGAGTGAGCGCAGACTACTGCCGGGGACTCATCCATTCCTCTCAACACCCGTGAGAGGTAGGTGACCCATTTTATAGATGAAGACACTGAGGTCCGAGGGTAGCATCTTGCCAAGGCCACTGTGACAGCGAGTGGGCAGTCTGTGGTTGGAACTCAGCTCAATCTCCGCCACGCTCTACCTTCGGGTACCTCACATGTCATGCACTGAGCTGGGATGTCCTTGGGAGAGAGGCACTGCCTAACTAACCAAGTCCTCGGTGTCTGACCTGGGGGCCTGGCACACAGTAGGTGCACGGAAAAGGTTGGTAGATTCAGAGGGGCCTGTTATTAGCTTGGGGCTTCCATCCGTGGGATCTGAGGCAAGAGCACAGGGTCAGACCTGGCAGCAGGAGGCCTGGCCCTGCTCCGTGCGAAGGGCGGGCAAGGGGAGGTGGATTGCACAAGTATCTGTCGAACACCCGGGGCTCCCCAAAATGGAGGCCACAGTGCCCCTCCAGTGGCGATCCAGAGGCAAACCCGACTCGGAAACAGCCGGGCGCAAGGACAGGAGGCGGCTTGGTCCACAACCTAGGCGACAGCGGGCGTGCTGGGGAACTGGGTACGAGCTGGGCGGGAACGGG